GGGAGGAGGGCCGGGCGCGGTGGCTCACGCCTGTCATCCCAGCACTTTGGGAGGCCGAGGCGGGTGGATCACTTGAGGTTGGGAGTTCAAGACCAGCCTGGCCAACATGGCAAAATCCCATCTCTACTAAAAATACAAAAATGAGCCAGGTGCGGTGGCGCACACCTGTAATCCCAGCTACTTGGGAGGCTCAGGTGGGAGGATCACTTGAACCCAGGAAGCGGAGGTTGCAGTAAGCCACGATTGCGCCACTGCACTCCAGCCTAGGCGACAGAGCGAGCCTCACTGCAGTCTTCACCTCCCGGTCTCAACCGATCCTCCTGCCTCAGTGTCCTGAGTAGCTGGGACTACAGGCATGCATCATCACACCAGGCTAATTTTTGTATTTTTAGTAGAGACAGGGTTTCACCACATTGCCCAGGCTGGTCTTGAACGCCTGGGCTCAAGCTCAAGTGACCTGCCCACCTCGGCCTCCCAAAGTGCTGGGATTACAAGTGTGAGCCACTGCACCCGGCTTACACATAATTTTTAAAGCTGACCCCAACAACGGTAATTATGGAAAGCACCGGATAAATTAATCTGCTTGACTGTAGTAATCACTTTACTACGTATATGCATATCAAAACATCATGTTGTAAAGCTTGAATATAAAATAGGTGAAAAACGGGATGTACGCCATATAAACAATGATTGGCTATTTCATGAGTTAAGGAACTCTTAATTTAGGGGCGTAATACTACCGGTTACTTTTCAAATCCTTACGTTTTACAGACGCACATTTAAGTATTTATGGCTGAACTGTTGGGTCTGAGATCTGCTTAGGAACCGTGGGTGGGTGCCCAAGAGCCAGCAGGGGCTATTAATCCATCACTGCTGCAGCTGGGCTGGTAGGCAGATAAGGTCTGCTTTCTCATGTATTTGAAATTCTCTGCAATGAAAATATTTGGTTGTATTTTTCTTTTTTTTTTTTTTTTTTTTCAGTCTCCCTCTGTCTTACAGTCTGGAGTGCACTGGCATGATCTTGGCTCACTGCAACCTCTGCCTTTGGGGTTCAAGTGATTCTCCTATCTCAGCCTTTTGAGTAGGTGAGATTACAGGCGCTCACCACCATGTCTGGCTAATTTTTGTATTTTTAGTAGAGACAGGATTTCACCATGTTGGCCAGGCTGGTCTGGAACTCCTCCTGACCTCAAGCGATCCACTTTCCCAAAGTGCTGAGATTTAGGCATGAGCCACTGGGCCAAGCCAGACTGTGGGTTCTGTTTCTGTAGGTCTGGGGTGAGGCTTGGGATTCAAGCATTTTCGAAGAGCTTCCCAGGTCTTTTCAGTACTGCTGGTCCACCAGCCAGGCACCAAGTAAGGTTCTGAACATTTGTTCAATATGGCAGCTGGCAGCCACCAGCCACACCTGGCCCCACTGACCACTTGAAGTGGGGCTGGTATGAACTGAGGTGGTATAAAACACACTGAATTTCAAAAACTTAGTATAACAAAGTGTGGGCCAGGCACAGTGGCTCACGCCTGTAATCCCAGCATTTTGGGAGGCCGAGGCAGGCAGATCACAAGGTCAGGAGTTTGAGACCAGCCTGGCCAATATGGTGAAACCTTGTCTCTACTAAAAATATTAAAAAACTAGCCAGGTGTGGTGGCGCATGCCTGCAGTCCCAGCTACTTGGGAGGCTGAGGCAGGAGAATGGCTTGAACCCAGGAGGCTGAGGTTGCAGTGAGCCGAGATTGTGCCACTGCACTCCAGCTTGGACAATAGAGGGAGACTCTGTCTCAAAAAAAAAAAAAAGTGTGTAAACTACCAATAATCTTTTGTTGATTACATGTTGTAGTGATGTTTTGGATATACAAAATTAAGTATGTTTCTTAAAAGTTGTTTCATCTGTATCTTTTATTTTTACTATGGTTACCTAGAAGATACAAAATTACATACCTGGTTCTTACCATCTGTCAGACACTGCGGGCCTAGAACATTCCTTTTATGTACTGTGCCCCATCCCCCAGGACTCTTGGCTCCCACCGAGGTGGACTATGACTCCTCAGTGACTGTTGTTTGTGCAACCCTTTCTCCTCCAGTTTGTAAGTCTTTTTTTTTTTTTTTTTTTTGAGATGGAATCTCTCTGTCACCAGGCTGGAGTGCAGTGGCACGATCTGGGCTCACTGCAACCTCAACCTCCCAGGCTCAAGGGTCTCCTGCCTCAGCCTCCTGAGTAGCTGGGATTACAGGCGCCACCACCACATGCAGCTAATTTTTATGTTTTTAGTAGAGATGGGGTTTCATTCACCATGTTGGTCAGGCTGGTCTTGAACTCCTGACCTCAGGTGATCTGCCCACCTTGGGCTCTCAAAGCGCTGGGATTGCAGGCGTGAGCCACTGCGTCTGGCCGTCTGTAACAATCTTGATTTCTAAGGAACAGTCCCGTGACACCACCCCCAGGATGCTCTATGATGAACGCTAATGTACTCATTCCATGACCAAACCCACTGCTCTGTCTTCTAGACCCCGTGTATCTGTGTTGGGCTCCCACCCCTACCTCCACTTACCCCCCCCAAAAAGTTTTAAACCCTCCTATCTAGAATAGGCATCCCAAGGTACCAAGGATCTTCCTGGAGGTGCTGGCCCTCCCCCTTTGCACTTTATCTTCCCTTTGCCAAGGCTCAGCCTCTCTTCCCCTCTCCTCAGAGAGCTGCCTTCCCCCTGGGCCTCACACCCGTGTCTCTCCACAGCTGTAATTCTGCCCCCAATCAGCCCCTACTTCAAGTACTCTGTCATGATCAACAAGGCCACACCCTACAACTACCCAGGTAAGTGGGGGCCCTGCAGGGATCGCTGGGATGGGCTCAGCCGCCCTGCGCCGGGGGCCGGGACCGGGGCCGTTATGGGCAGGTCTTTCCTAAGCAGAGGTCAGACATTCAGCAGTGCTGCCTGTACTCCCCCTGCTCAACTTTTTAAGAACTGAGATATAATTCATACACTATTCTGTGTTTGTGCTTCCAGTTTCTATTACCTTCCAGATTTTCTGTCCCTCTCTGGGTTGCTATCTGTGGTGTTTCCTCGGTCTCCATCTTTACAGGTTTCTGTCCTGTTTCCCCATCTCTTTTGGGGTCTCTCTCTCTCTGTCTCTCCGGTTTTCCATGTCTCTCAGTCTCTGTATCTCCCTGCCTCTTCTGCATCACTGATTCTCTGATCCTTACCCTCCTCTCACCCCCTGGTGTCTCCCTTTCCCTCTCTGAATATAAATCGACAGACAGCTCTTCTCTCCAGGCCCTGGAGACGTGCTGGTCTCAGTGGCCCCCTCCTGTCCCACAGTGCCTGTCCGAGATGATGGGAACATGCCCGACATACCCAGCCACCCCCAGGACCCCCAGGGGCCCAGCCTGGAGTGGCTGAAGAACCTGTGAGCACCTCCACTGACCAAGGCCGGCCCTCTCTCGGCTCCCAATAAAAATGTGAAAACCAACCCCAGAATGTGAGCATGTGTGTGATCAGAGGTGGGAACAGGAGACGGCGGCCAGGGTGAGTGCGGGGTCAGTTTACTGGGCATGGGTCAGTCAGAGGGTGGGCTGGCTAGGGTCGGGTAGGGCAGCAGTTTGTCTGGACCCCGGGAAACCCAACTGGAATCCAGGGCCTCGTCTGCTTCAAAGCCAAAGTCTTCCTCGACCTTAATCTGCAGGAGATAACGAAGTGTTAGGGCTGGGAATCCAGAAAATCCAATTAGCTTCACTGTTTTTGTTTTCGTTTTGTTTTGATTTTTAAAGAGACAGGCCCTCACTCTGTTGTCCAGGCTGGAGTACAGTGGTGCCATCATAGTTTACTGCAGGCTCTGCCTCCCACCTGAGGATCAAGCGATCCTCCCACCTCAGCCTCCCAAGTAACTGGGACTAGAGGCACAGGCCAACCAAGCCTACCTTTTTTTTTTT